ATTTGAGAATGAAGGGCGGCCATTTTATCGGTCAGTTTTGGGCCGATGTTCACAAAATTCAAAATCAGCCGTCCTTAGGGTGTAATAGTGATATAATAATACGATTTTTTAAATCGGATAAAAATTATGACCTCTATAGGGTCCACAAGCTAAAAACGTGATTTTTCGTACAATCAGGGGCCATAATTCAGGAAGTTACGGTCCGATATGGGCGAATATCCAAAGGAATCGAGATCTTTGGGTTATAAACTTACATTTCAAGTTTCAACAAAATCGGATAAAAATTTTGACCTCTATAGGGTCCACAACCTTGATATACTATATTTTTACGCCGTTTGAGAACGAACGGCGGCCATTTTGTCTGTCAGTTTTGGGGAAATTTTCACAAAAGTCGAACTCAGCCGTCCTTAGGGTTTAACGGTGATATAATAATCTGGTTTTTTAAATCGGATAAAAATTATGACCTCTAAAGAGTCCACAAGGCAAAAACATGATTTTTCGTACAATCAGGGGCCATAATTCAGGAAGATACAATCCGATATGCGCGAATATCGAAAGGAACCGAGATCTTTGGGTTATAAACTTACATTTCAAGTTTCAACAAAATCAGATAAAAATTGTGACCTCTATAGGGTCCATAACCTTGATATACTATATTTTTACGCCGTTTGAGAACGAACGGCGGCCATTTTGTCTGTCAGTTTTGGGGAAATTTTCACAAAAGTCGAACTCAGCCGTCCTTAGGGTTTAACGGTGATATAATAATCTGGTTTTTTAAATCGGATAAAAATTATGACCTCTAAAGAGTCCACAAGGCAAAAACATGATTTTTCGTACAATCAGGGGCCATAATTCAGGAAGTTACAATCCGATATGCGCGAATATCGAAAGGAACCGAGATCTTTTGGTTATAAACTTACATTTCAAGTTTCAACAAAATCAGATAAAAATTGTGACCTCTATAGGGTCCACAACCTTGATATACCATATTTTTTACACTATTTGAGAACGAACGGCAGCCATTTTGTCTGTCAATTTTGGGCAATTGTCCCGAAATTCAAACTCAGTCATCCTTAGGGTGTAACGGTGATATAATAATACGTTTTTTTAAACCAGATAAAAATTATGACCTCTATGGGGTCCACAAGCTAAAAACGCGATTTCTCGCACAATCAGGGGCCATAATTCAGGAAGTTACGGTTCGATATGCGCGAATATCAAAAAGAACCGAGATCTTTGGGTTATAAACTTACGTTTCAAGTTTCAACAAAATCGGATAAAAATTGTGACCTCTATAGGGTTCACAACCTTGATATACCATATTTTTACGCTATTTAAGAACGAACAGCGGCCATAATCCATGAAGGTTCCACAAGCTAAAAATGTGATTTTTCGTACAAACAGGGGCCATAATCCATGAAGTTTCGATCCGATACATGCCAATATCTAAAGCAGCCAAGATCTTTTGGAGATAAACCTATATTTCAAGTTTCGTCAAAATCGGATAAGAATTGTGACCTGTAGAGTGTCCACAAACAAATTGTTGACGGACGGACGGACAGGGGCGACGGCATAATACGTCCACATGAAAATGTGGGCGTATAAAAATTCCAAAATTAATATAGTTTACTGAGTGTATAACTACCACTCAACCCGATCATCGTTGATAATACGCTGGATTGATTAGGTAATTAAGTGATCAACGTATTTATCGTGTTATACCGCCTATACACCTACCTTGATTAACTAGTTAATCTGCCTTAATTCTTTATGGGACAATTCATCGATCCAATCCTGAACAGAAGTCATTGCATCTCCTTTGTCGGGATATGTATCAATCCAATAAGAGTGATTATACAACTTAATCTACGTGATTGACCCATGATTTCCCCATTGTCGGATGTTTTAATCTCCTTGATGTCGGCCGACAGCATGTAGAAATTAGTCATATATGTCACATATCCTAATAGTACATAACATCCCAAATCAATATGTATCCGATAAGTCGTCTGCGATATCACTTCGGTGGAAGCTAGCTTTAAATAAAGCTATTAATTTCACACACACACACATATCCGAAAAATAACACACTGATCAGCAGTGAATATTCGCTAGGCCGCGACAGTAACTGATAACGATGACATGGATGCGACTTAATGAGCCACAAATATTAACTTTCTTCCCCTGACAAATTAAATTATAAAACATTTTTTTTATGTATTAGAAAAATAAATAGACGTTTGAAGTATTTGTAGGTAAAAATTATTTCCTATTTTAGTGTAAATGGGTATTAAAATGAGTAAAAGGCACCATTTTGATCGAATCGGTAACGTCTTATGTAAACAATGCACGCGCCATTGAGCCAATGATTGACGCTGCGTGATATGACGTCATGTGTTGCAGGCAGTGATCTTTTACAGAGATATTAGAAGACTTTCGTATATTCTGTGAAACAGATTGGAAAACTACTAGACATTGCTAACTCTGATTCTGATCGGACGCGGTTATAGCACCCTGCAAACCTCGGAAGATTCCGTTACTCTACATCTGGCCGCAGCTGTAAGTGATATGTACCTACGCCTTTACAATTGCGATGTGGCACCGGTTTACTTTTTAGGAAAACTTGCCGCTTTTATAAAGAATTTATCAAAATTGCGTCGTTCGAATCGTGTTTAGAATTTTCATAGCAAAGTTGTCCTTGTTTGAAGAAAATCTGATAAACTTGAAAGAAAAACCACTTCAGACTTTGAAATATTTGTATGAAAAAACATTCTTCAAAAGCGTTGTCATGGGCAACGCCATTGGTAATCCAGGAACTTGAAAGTAGTTCCAATGACGGACTTCGTCATACAGCCGAGGCTAGATGTAGGGTACTGAAATCTGCTGAGTGGTGGTTATAGTACGATAACTGAAACGGACGTAGAAATCTCGCGAGACACGTAAAACTATAAAATTAATGTGACAAATTTCATGCATCTAATGTCGAAGAAAATATTCTATTTTGATGGCATATTCTCGGATTTATGATCATATTCTGAATGGGGTTTATGTTTTTAAATAAAGAAATAAGTACACTAGGCAATGTTGACGAATATGTCGATTGGAATAGTGTAAACACTTAAAGATAGGTTCCCAGAAAAGTATTTATCGGGTGGTTATTTCCAATAAAAGTATGGCAATTTTGGTATATATGGAAAGTAGAGATATCCAATCTTACTAGAAAAATACTGGATTATCTGAAAAACACCCATGGAGCGTATACAGAACAAAAATGTTAGGGTTCCCCTAATCAACAGCCCGATGATTAGGAATATCTGCAGGCATGACGTCAAAGGCTGCACACGGAGATTGAGCGCTTGATGTACATGATGATAAACTTTATGAAGAGTTAGACGTACAACACTTTCTGAGATAAAAATCACAGAAAAAGATGCGGGCAGTGGATAGTCCGAGAATTTAATTAGGATTCGATATTTGTAATAAATAGTCAGCGATTAAAAACAACATCGTCTTGTGTATGCAATGAATTCTCCTCCGACTTCGTACCCATAAGTCAGGTGACACAAACATGACCTCTTTTGATCGATATTTTATAGCAAGGGTATTCCTTGACAATTGCAATGTTTTGAGAAGGATTTGAAGAAAATTTATGATAAATTAATTAGTTTGAATATGTTTTTAGGCCAAATATATCATCAAATCACCCAGTTTGTAGACGGAAATGTATCTTTAATTGTTTTAGATGACAGCGCATGCTAGAGTCGAATGCAATTATTTAGCAGATGGTGTCACTCGCTCTTTGCGGTAGAGCGACGTTTACTGCCAAATAAATTTTGGGATGTCATTTTTTTACCCTCCGTATATAAGCCGAAACAAAGTATAAGACGAATGTTGTACTTCTGCTGAAAAATGTATCGACTTGTGACCCGAAAAATATGGTAACTTTGGAGGAATTTGAAACAGAACGGATTGGCAGTAGTCGGCACGCTTTCATTCTATCGTATTACGACATCACGTAATTTTGTAGGAATATTACTGACATAAATTTGAATACCGTACAGGAATTGAATATAAAAATAACGAGGTGCACCTATTTTTTTTATTACGTACGAATTTGAATATTTTGTGTGTTGTCTAAAAACTGTTTGTTTAAATAACGATAAGAGTTATGTCCCTTTATTTTCGGTAAAAATATCCGACAAGAAAAACTTTGAAATCCCATCACTGAGCTGCATTCCTGGGTCTACCAGCAGTTCATAAATACATTGTACATGTCGCAGTTCATAAATACATTGTACATGTCGCAGTCCCATATTTTATAAGTAAATCATAGGGGCCGCAGTCCCAGATTTTCATAAGTAGATTGTAGGGGTTGCAGTCCCCGGTATACCAGCATTTCATAAGTATATTGTAGGGGCCACAGTCCCAGATTTACCAGAAATTTCAGACGTAGACTGTAGAGGCTGCAGTCCTGGGTCTACCAGCAGTTCATAAATAAATTGTACATGTCGCAGTCCCATATTTACAACTTTCATTTTAGATATCTAAACTCAATTTACTTTTTTCGTGTGGTGCAACTCTAGGTGTATTTCTCTGTGACTTGAATTGGTGGAGTGCAGCCCCCCCCCCCCCCCCCCCCCGTTTGTGCAAATAAATAAATAAATTGTGTTAAATTAATTAGTATTCTTGTTTTTTGTGTTATTTGCATAAATGTGCAGCAAAATCCATTTGTATACAACTTTGGCAAAATCCTATTCTCACTGAACACAACATGTATCGGATTAGTGCATCACATCTCTTCAGTTTGAATACAATATTAGAAATAAATATACTAACTAGTTTTCCAATAACTTCCATTTCTTCTGTTCTAGACAATGGTCGCATGTTGTGGAAAAGGAACATGGTGAGGAGTTCTGGTGTCAGCCATTGTTGTTTACTGCTACCAATAACAGGAGGTTCAGATAATGCTATCATGCGGAAAGATGGATGAATAGGAAAGATCAACCTGAAAAGACAATTCATTTTTAATAATGAGATACATTAAAGATATGCTCCCTCAAGCATTATCATCTTTATCTGAATGTATATTTCTAATTACCAGGAAAAATAAAATTATAGACACAAATTATATAATAAGCCCATAATGAGAAGAGATTAACATTTCATACAAACCTTTCTGACATATCCTGATCACTATAGTTATTATTAGATTTAATATCATCATATTTATCTTTTCGTAACAGTCGACTACCATCAAATAACTGTAACTCTCTTTCATGAATTAATCTGAAACATAGCGTTAACTATTTAACTTTTTGGCTAAGGAGGGCCAGTAACAACAACTTCTGTTTTTATTGTTCTATTGTTATATTCTATTTTACTATTTACTGTGGATTTCATTAGCATTATCTGGAGACCTGCAGACCCATGGGGCCTATTGATTTTTGAGTAATTTTTAATCTTTGAAGTTTAAAATTAAATCTACATAAGAAAGAATAGAAAAATATATGTTAGAATGTTACACATCTTTAGGAGTATGCCAATACATCTATGCATCAAATATCAAAATTTATGGCTACTTTCCTGAAGAAGGGTTAAAAAATTGAATTTTTCAAAAAATTATTCCGTACAAATATTCCGTAGCTAAAGAGTTAAATCCACTGTGATATTTGTTTACATATATTAAAGGAACAGTAACACATAAATTAAATTTAACAGACCCATAGAAATTGCAATATAATGGTGCTCGAAGCAAATGATACAGCAATCCTTCACATTAAGAGAGAGACACAAATCAGCTAATTTAAAAACTTATATTTTATGGTACATCCTTATTTCAATAACTTGTTTGCGCACAGTGGTGTTTAACAGTGTCATTTATATGTCAAGGCTGTAAAAACAAGTCAATCATAGCTCTTTCGTTCTTTGAATCTGTGGGGTGGAAATTTTGGTTTGTCAACAAACCAAATGGAAATTTAACACTCTGATGATAGTAATAACATATATTATGAAGTTTCACGGATTATAAGGTATCAAATTTATATTTAATAATTACAGTTATGTCTATAGCTAGGCGGTCTCATTCAATGATTATTAAGGGATGAGATGAAACTGGATAATTTTCTTTGTCAATGTGCATGTAATACAGAGGTTTATGTGTGCTAGCGAGTCTATATTTGCGTACTAGATTGATTTCATAAGGAAAGTAAACACTTTTATTATTCAATTACCTATGTAAAACAGCAAAGGAACCTGGGTTAATGCGATGAACTCCATCAAGAACAGCTAAACTACCTTCAACAGCTGCTGTTGCTAGGGGAGATGGCCTCCATGTTGTATCCCCATTTGGTAAAGTTGTTCTTTGTTGTAATAAATCTCTCGAGGTCATATCCTGTGTAAAATATTCCAATTTTCGAATATTGATATGCCGTGTCAGTAAATGATATACAGTAAAATGAAAAATTACTGCAAAATTGTTTATGTTCATAAATATTCATACTGATTTTTCAATGCAAGTTCTTTCATTGCAATCAAAATATTTATTAATATAAAAGTACAAATGAAATTCTCATTTATGCAAAGTTCCGAAACAAATAACACTGTAACATTGGTACCGTTTAATCTAGCGTAAATAGCGTTAATTTCTACTCTGTGTCCAATTATTCATGAACATTGTTGAATAGTGCTCAATTTGTACTTCTATCGAATTTCAATCTCACCGTTTAATTTTGATTACCAAGCGTCTAATTAACTAGTGTTTAGTTTCTCGACACGTGTTGAATTCTAAGCGTCCCATCTAATTAGCATGACTGTTCAATAATTAGTTGGACCGTTCAATTTCCCGAGCCGTGATTAAAATCAGTCAAGGTATCCAATTACGCAAGGTGTTAAATTTTGTTGTCAAACATCTAATTTCACGTGCAATGTTCAGATATTACGATGTGTTTAGTTGTTGGTCATCGTTCAGTTTTGCCGCCGAATGTATACTGTGTAATACATGTATAGTCTTATGCATACGTGTCCTTTAAAATGTTCTAGACATGCAGCTTTACATGACTGGTTGGAAATATAACCGCATAAATATCGTGCAGAATATGTGAACATGCGTGTTCTCACTATACAACGTGGACTAACGCGTCCGTATTATTAACGAAAATATTCAACATTCATAACATAGTGGCAGTATATCGTTTTGACATCGATTGTTTATGACAAATAAATACTGTTAATTTTGCATGTAAAATTACACCGAGGCCTGTATTTATGATATCCCCATTCTTTATTAAAAATTAAACTTAAATATATGATACAATTCCTTTTTAAATTGGCTTTCTCTGAAATCAAGTTTGGTAAAGTTATGCGTTACATATAAGCATGAAATGTATTTAGTAGGTTTTATTTGATCTTCAGCGAAAAAAGGGTCGTCGTTCTATAGACATATTGTTAGCTTCTGACACGTGTATTAATTCTACAAGCCTTCTGTGTTTATTGCCAGAGATAATCGCACTACCCTTCAACCCAAAATGCTTTCTATAGATCCCATATTATGTAATATATGATTGGTGCAATACCCATGCTGTTAGTCTTAATTGCGAAGACATTTAAACAAAAGGATTTAATCAGGGTAGGGAGTAGACGTGTACACACGTAAATCAGATGCGTGAGATTTATCATTCGTGGATGTGTTGTCAGTGTGGCAAATACTGTTTTAAATGGATATATAAATACACGTTTTATGATTGTGGATGAAACGGTATGCGCATCTCGAGAAAGCTTTGCTTCGGAACCGTCCCGTTGCCATTAAAAATCCAACATGTTTCACCGTAGTGATCTTGAAAAATAATCCCCGGATAATGACAGGCATTACAGATATGAATCCTGAAAGATAATATTTCACCGTATCGCAACAGGTCAGTACTAAAACTAACACTTATTACAGTATTTCAACATTGTGCGGCAAAATAGACATTCGGCGGCAAAACTGAAAGATGACCAACAACTAAACACATCGTAATATCTGAACAACGCACGTGAAATTAGATGTTTGACAACAAAATTTAACACCTTGCGTAATTGGACACCTTGACTGATTTTAATCACGGCTCGGGGAAATTGAACAGTCAATCTAATTACTGAACAGTCGTGCTAATTAGAGGGGACGCTTATAATTCAACACGTGTCGAGAAACTAAACACTAGTTAATTAGACGCTTGGTGATCAAAATTAAACAGTGAGATTAAAATTCTATAGAAGTACAAATTGAGCACTATTCGCCTTAATTCAACAATATTTATGAATAATTGGACACAGAGTAGAAATTAACGCTATTTACGCTAGATTAAACGGTACCAATGTTACAGTGTAAGGAGTGGTTTCATGAGTTCTATAAAGAGCCACCAAGCCTTGTACTGCCTAATGCACTACACATACCTAAATAGTTAAATAGAGCAATTGTTTCAATCTCTTTATCAGCTACTTATAACAACCTGTTTTTTGCCCATTTTTCAAATTCTTAATGACCATATAAGGTTTCTTTTATTATTTCTGCTAACAAATTCTAGAATTAACAAAACAGAAAGAAACTAGTTTAATGATATACATTACCTGGTATAACATGATGGGTTCTATATGATATCCTAATAAATCAGCAAACTTTCTAACAGCCGCACTTTTACCACATCCCTACATTAATAAATTTATAAGTTTTATTTCATCACATTCTACATATGCAACACCTGTCTATACTGACGGTATCTGTTGCCAATAAAGTCTATTTTTTTTATTAGCTACGAATTTGAATATTTTGTTGACACATAATTTTTAATTCATATGGTCTGAATCTGTCTGCTTATATAACGATAAGAGTTATGCCCCTTTATTTTCGGCACAAATGTCTGACAGGAAATTGTTTGAAGTAGCAACATTGCAAGAGAGAGAGAGAGAGAGAGAGAGAGAGGGGGTTTAAAATCCATTTGGTCATTTTGGGACTAACATATTGTTTAATAATTCGATTGCACGTAGGGGTCTTTAGCAGTGGGAGGAAACCTAAGGACCAGGAGAGGAAACCTAAGGACCAGGAGAAAAACCCATGAGGTTGGATAGGCGACCCTAGGCCTTGTCACATACAACATGAAAATGTGGGCAAATAATAAAATGTAATATACTTACCCTAGGTCCTATTAAACAGAAATCATGAACAGAATGAGATTGTATCATCTGTGTGAGAAGTGTATCATGATATTGAGTTTTAATGAACTGATTTTCACCACCAGATTCTACAACACCAGCTGGTACCTGAAAATAAAACAGTTTTAATGAACTGATTTTCACCACCAGATTCTACAACACCAGCTGGTACCTGAAAACAAAACTACTTATCGCTCAATACCAATGTAATCTAATCCTATATTTTAACATCCAGCTGTTCTGTCATTACATTTCTTGTTGAAAGGCAATTGTTTGAAATAGTATCTTACAACTGCTCTTTTCATAAATAACCCCTAATAACTATTAACTGAACACCCAGTACAAATATATAGTAACTTACAGTGAGTTTATTGAAAATTACACCCTGTTTAAAATCAACAACAGCCATTTCACCACTTCTCTCTACATTAGTTAAATTATACACTGGTAACCCGGGATCCACTAATTCAAATTTCTGTAAAATAAAGCATTCTTGTCAGAAAAAGGTGTAACTGATGGTAATCATAAAGTTCTATTAGATACATAAACACATACATAAGGCAATCCTAATTTCAGCTATTTCTAATTTGGAACTGCAATGAATGAATAAATGAAATGGGGTTTAACATCCTATATTTCTGGGCTAATGAAGATGGGCATATGCCATAGAGTGTGCTATAAGGGAAATTTTGCCTGGACAGCAATTGAATACCAAGGGTTTTTTTATGTGCACACCACCATGTACACAGGACCTTGTTTTTTTCATCCCATCTGAATGATTGGACACTGCTACTTGTCAGGCCCACCTTCCTACATCAATGATAATCTAGTGGAAATTTATTTGTCCAGCGCCGTACCCATTAAGCCACAATGGTTCCCTTTTGAACTTGATCCATCTTACCTTGAGATAACACCAAGACAATGATATTACATTTAAGTTACATTCAACACAACTCATGTTATATAGAAACATTAACGCTTTTAGGAGGCAATTTTCCCCAACTGCTGAACCACTGTTGGGGAATGAATTTTAGGAAATGAATTTGAAGCTGAGATCAAATCTAAAATTGTTATATCTTTGCAACTATGCTATCAAAAATCACGAAACTTGGTGATGCATTCATACGCCACTATACCTGCAAATGCAAAAACTTTGTAATTAGAACCATTTTAACCAGGTAAATAGTAAATACAGGTCTGGAAAGGTAAAAATTACAAACCAAGATAAAAACCAGCGGCTGCCAGGCAGGATACGCCCACATTTTGCAAGAGATGGATAGAGAACAAACTAAAAACAAACTTGATTTTTTGTACAATCAGGAGCAATAATCCAGAAAGTTATGGCCTGAAATGTGCAAATATCAAAAGTGACAGAGATCTTTGGGATATAAAGATATGTTTAAAGTTTCATCAAAATCGGATAAAAATTGTGACCTCTAGAGGGTCCACAACCTTCGTATTACACACTTCTACAAAATTTGTGACAAAGAGCGGCCATTTTATCGGGCAGTTTCATTTCGATTTTCCTGAAATACGAATTCAACCTTCATTATGGTGGAATGGTGATGTATTTAAACGATTTTAAAATTGGAAAAAAATTGTGACCTCTACAGAATGCCCAAGCTAAAAATGTGATTTTTCGAACAATCAGGGGCCATAATCCAGGAAGTTAAGTTCGGGTATCCGAGGTTTTATCAAAAGGAACCAAAATCTTAGTGTGTGATGGTGATATATTCACACGATTTTTTAAATCGGATAAAAATTGTGACCTCTACAGGGACTACAAGCTAAAAACGTGATTTTTTGTTCGATCAAGGGCCATACCTCATGAAGTTACGATCTGATATGCGCGAATATCAAAAGAAACCAATATCGTTGGGTTATAAACATGTATTTCAAGTTTCATCGAAATAGGACCAAATTGTGACCTCTAGAGGGTCCACAACCTTGATCTACCAGATGTTTACACTATTTGCGTACGAGGGGTGGACTGATTTTCACGAAATTCAAACTCAACAAACATTACGGAGTAACGGTGATATATTCTAACGGTTTTTTTAAATCGGATAAAAATTGTGACCACTACAGGGACCACAAGCTAAAAACGTGATTTTTTGTTCAATCAAAGACCATAATTCAGGAAGTTACGATCTGATATGTGCGAATATCGAAAGGAACCAATTTTGTTGGGTTATAAACATGTATTTCAAGTTTCATTGAAATCGGATCATAATTGTGACCTCTAGAGGGTCCACAACAAATAAGTACAAATACTTAACAGCTTCGTTACATGGCAATTCTCAGGCTTCCATACAGATATCACCGAATAGTGATACTAATTTTAATTTCTTTTTCAAATTTTATTTAAAGAATGCATAATTCATTTCTTAATTCTATATTCATATATACATACAATATGGCGGACTTTAATATTATCAGCCTGTCTGTCATTGATTTAATACGTTAATATTTTGATTTAAAGCTCTTAAAGTAATTTCCTAAACGCAAGAATGGTCTTGACTGTGTTATAATCTTTGGATGCCAATAGACTTATTAAAAGTGACCTCGAGCAAGGGTTATAGAATTAACAATACAGTCAGATCAGTGCTAATCAAGTGTCAATGCTTTTACTTTATTTATCGCTTAAAGCTTATTAACTGATTATATTAATTATATACTATTCAAAAAAAGTAGGGGATATTGAAATGCAAATACCTATGCAGGTTGTGATATGATAAATAGTCATGGACACTTGACATGCTTTGAGAGTATGTTCACAGATGAAGAACTTATTCCCCTATAGAGCATGTCTGGGACATAATCGGGCGACGCGTTCATCGACGTCAACGTCAACGGACAACACTGCAAGAATTGGCCGTGGCACTGCAAGAGGAGTGAGTCAGGTTGCCCCAAATAGTGATTGGACGGTTGATTAGGAGCATGCCACGACGAATTGCTGAATGTCTGAGGATTGGTGGAGCAATTACTCATTATTAAGACAACCAGCAGCTGCCAGGCAGGATATGCCCACTTTTTGCGAGAGATGGATAGAGAACAAGCTAAAAAGAAAGTGATTTTTCCTACAATCAAGGGCCATAATTCTGGAAGTTACGGTTCGATATGCACGAACATCAAAAGGAACCGAGATCTTTGGGTTATAAACTTACATTTTAAGTTTCAACAAAATCGGATAAAAATTGTGACCTCTATAGGGTCCACAACCTTGAAAGACCATATTTTTACGCTATTTGAGAACGAACGGCGGTCATTTTGTCTGTCAATTTTGGGCCGATTCTCACGAAATTTGAACGCATTAGTCCTTAGGGTGTAACAGTGATACAATAATATGTTTTTTTTAAATCTGATAACCAGCGGCTGCCAGGCAGGATACGCCCACATTTTCGAGAGATGGATAGAGAACAAGCTAACAAGAAAGTGATTTTTCCTACTATCAAGGGCCATAATTCAGGAAATTACAATTCAATATGCGGGAATATCGAAAAAAATTGAGATCATTGTGTTATAAACTTACATTTCAAGTTTCAACAAAATCGGATAAAAATTGTGACCTCTATAGGGTCAGATGGACAGGCGGATAGACAGACAGACAGATGGATGAAAACATTTTAATAGTCCCTGCTTTCTTCGAAAGGTGGGAGACAATAAGTAAGGGGAGATAAGGAAATTATTATGTCCATGGGAGAATGAAGGTTTAGGTAATAGAAGTCTACTTGTTTTGCATGTGTCAGCATCTGTACACTTCTTTCATTTAAGCTTAAACATACATTATGCAAGAATTAAATCTGCCTATTGCAGGTCTTTCTTTAAGCCTAAAATGTTATATAAACCATTAATTAGACATTTATTAAAACCAGCGGCTGCCAGGCAGGATACGCCCACATTTTCGAGAGATGGATAGAGAACAAGCTAATAAGAAAGTGATTTTTCCTACTATCAAGTGCCATAATTCAGGAAATTACAATTCAATATGCGGGAATATCAAAAGGAACTGAGATCATTGTGTTATAAACTTACATTTCAAGTTTCAACAAAATCGGATAAAAATTGTGACCTCTATAGGGTCCACAACCTTGATATACCATATTTTTACGCTATTTGAGAACGAACGGCGGCCATTTTGTCTGTCAATTTTGGGCCGATTTTCACGAAATTCGAATTCAACCTTCCTTAGGGTGTAACGGTGATATAATAATACGTTTTTTTAAATCAGATAAAAATTATGACCTCTATAGGGTCCACAAGCTAAAAACGTGATTTTTCGTACAATCAGGGGCCATAATTCAGGAAGTTACAATCCGATGTGCGCGAATATCGAAAGGAACCGAGATCTTTGGATTATAAACTTACATTTCAAGTTTAAAAAAAAATCGGATAAAAATTGTGACCTCTATAGAGTCCACAACCTTGATATACCATATTTTTACGCTATTTGAGAATGAACGGCGGCCATTTTGTCTGTCAATCTTGGGCCTTTTTCACAAAATTCGAACTCAACCTTCCTTAGGGTGTAAAGGTGATATAATAATACAGTTTTTTAAATCGGATAAAAATTATGACCTCTATAGGGTCCACAAGCTAAAAACGTGATTTTTCGAAAATCAGGGGCCATAATTCAGGAAGTTACAGTCCGATATGCGCGAATATCGAAAGGAACCGAGATAATATTGTTATCCCTGTAAAGTGTGTGCGTCGGAGAACGACATTAATGTCGTTATCCCTGTAAAAGGGTTAAAGATAGGTTGCCAGGCAACGAAGCATACGCCCACAGCAGCTAAATCGTCCGGACAGTCAACAAGAGTTGTCGCATATTTTTACTTTTTTCAGTAATGAACCATTTATAATACACTAAAATCTGATTAAGAGTAACAACTCATTAAGTAATTATCAGAAAACCATTAGAATTTGTTTGGTTTGTATAAAGTTCTGCCCCATGCTAACGTTTAGTATACGAAACTTTTAATATCATGGACTTAGCTGTTCACGTTCATTGAAAATCAATACACTTGTTCGTCTCAAGAACTTAAACTCTGTGTATCAATCTAAGGCCAGACATTTTTAATTTCATGGTTTTATGGATTTTTAGGCAGCACTTTAGGTTGGTTAGGTCAAAATAAAAATAAAAATAAATTTAAACATTAGATTTTTTTTTCAGTAGAGGGTTATCATATTGGTTGGGTAGGTCGGTTAAAAAAAAACAAAAAAAAAAAACACACAAAATATTAGAAGTTTACTTTAACAGGGTTATTGTTAACAAAACAAAATAAGAGTGTGACAATATATTATGTATCACTGTTAACCAGTATAAGGTGTCACAAACTAGCCATTTTAATTGACAAGTAATTTAAATCTTTAATATTAGAGGCATTAAGTGTTGACAGATTATAAAAATAGTTTCTACTGTAGCCCCAACAATTAATGAAAGATTTTAATGTCCCGAGTCTCTGAGAAAAACAGAGTTCTTCGAGAAGCTTTAGAAATTCAAAAACATAAGCCAAAATTAAACAGAGACTCGGGACATTATCTTCCAAATCTTTGGGTGGATTTACTAGACAATCAGTGAACACTAATAACTTTAATCAGTGAATGGTTTTCTTTCCTTTCAAAGTGTTAATTGTTATTAATTAAGTGTAGATTGTGGTTTCTAATCATAGTAGGGTTTCCAATTGTTTATTTAGTTATTCTATATATTGTACCATATTTTGTTATTAATCATTTAGCTTGACAACGCTACCTGTATGTGTATCGAAACGTAGCTTGTTAATAAATTCAGAAGTAGTATATCCATATAAGTGCGTATAGTGTCCGGTGAATTTATTTTCACAAATGATCTTTGATTAATTCCCGTTTCTTGCCCCACGTTGAGGCACAGATATCCCACCAATTTGAATGACAGTTCTCGTGGGATAGCGTCATTTCTCGCGAAATAACGCTCTCGCTCATGTTGTCTTACTGCACAGCACGCGATGTTTCCTAGTAAATACGGTATACATTGAAGCCAATGAAGGGTTCATCAAAATGAAAATTGATAAACATTAATAAAAAAAATATAACAAACAAAGATTTTATTTCGTGTATGGGTCGGAAATAAAATAAAATTAAATTTTCAAGTTACATATTTATTTTTTTATTGGGAGGTTCACGCTTCAGTCGGTGGGTCCGTAAAACGAAAAATCAAAAAAGTGTCGCCTAATGTCAATCTGATGATAACTTTAGCCTCTAGAGCCGTCACAAGATTTTTCAAAGTGATCAAGGGCCATAACTTTGGCTGTAATTATCGGAAATCGCTGAAAATCAATAGGCTTCTTCATCTCATGACCTTAAACAATATGTATAAATTTAAAGTCAATCGGCTGGCCGGAGGCGACGACAATATACGACCACATGTCATTTCAATAACCAGCGGCTGCCAGGCAGAATACACCCACATTTTCGAGAGACGGATAGAGAAGAAGCTAAAAAGAAAGTGATTTTTCCTACAATTAAGGGCCATAATTCAGGAAATTACAATTCGATATATTCGCAAATATCGAAAGGAACCAAGATCTTTGTGTTATAAACTTACATTTGAAGTTTCAAAAAAATCAGATAAAAATTGTGACCTCTGTAGGGTCCACAACCTTGATATACCATTTTTTTTTACGCTATTTGATAACAAAGGGCGGCCATTTTGTCTGTCAGTTTTGGGCCGATTTTCACGAAATTCGAACTCCGCCATCCTTAGGGTGTAACGGTGATATAATAATACGTTTTTTTAAATCGGATAAAAATTATGACCTCTATCACTGTAACATTGGTACCGTTTAATCTAGCGTAAATAGCGTTAATTTCTACTCTGTGTCCAATTATTCATAAATATTGTTGAATTTCGGCGAATAGTGCTCAATTTGTACTTCTATCGAATTTCAATCTCACTGTCTAATTTTGATTACCAAGCGTCTAATAAACTATGTTTAGTTTCTCGACACGTGTTGAATTATAAGCTTCCCGTCTAATTAGCACGACTGTTCAATAATTAGTTGGACCATTCAATTTCCCGAGCCGTGATTAAAATCAGTCAAGGTGTCCAATTACGCAAGGTGTTAAATTTTGTTGTCAAACATCTAATTTCAAGTGCGATGTTCAGATATTACGATGTGTTTAGTTGTTGGTCATCGTTCAGTTTTGCAGCACAATGTTGAAATACTGTAATAAGTGTTAGTTTTAGTACTGACCTGTTGCGACCTGTCAACTTTTGGCCGATTTTCACAAAATTCAAACTCATCCGTCCTTAGGGTGTAACAGTGATATAATAATACAGGTTTTTAAACCGGATAAAAATTATGACCTCTATAGGGGGGCCACAAGCTAAAAACGCGATTTTTCATACAATCAGGGGCCATAATTCAGGAAGTTACAGTCCGATATGCGCGAATATCGAAAGGAACCAACATCTTTGGGTTATAAACTTACATATCAAGTTTCAACAAAATCGGATAAAAATTGTGACCTCTATAGGTTCCACAACCTTGATATACCATATTTTTACGCTATTTGAGAACGAACGGCGGCCATTTTGTGTGTCAATTTTTGGCCAATTTTCTCGAAATTCGAACTCAGTCGTCCTCAGGGAGTAACTGTGATTTAATAACACGTTTTTTTAAATCAGATAAAAATTAGGACCTCTATAGGGTCCACAAGCTAAAAACGTGATTTTCCGTACGATCAGGGGCCATAATTCAGGAAGTTACGGTTCGATCTGCGCGAATATCGAAAGGAACCGAGATCTTTGGGTTATAAACTTACATTTCAAGTTTCAACAAAATCGGATCAAAATTGTGACCTCTATAGGATCCACAAGCTAAAAATGTGATTTTTCGGACAAACAGGGGCCATAATCCATGAAGTTTCGATCCGATACATGCCAATATCAAAAGCAATCGAGATCTTATAGAGATAAACCTATATTTCAAGTTTCGTCAAAATCGGATAAGAATTGTGACCTGTATATTGTCTACAAACAAATTGTGGACGGACGGACGGATGTTCAAACGGACTGACGGACAGACGGACAGGGGCGACGACAATATACGTCCACATGAAAATGTGGTCTTATAAAAATTGAAGCCGGTCAAGGGAGATAATTACATACATTTAATGTATCTTCTACAGCTGTTTTGCCATCAACACCTAACATACTAGAATATGGATATAATCTGTGTAACACTTCATATGATGATATACCATTCACATTATCCTGACAATATAAAATAATAAAACCAATCTAGAATATAGATCGCAACAAATAAAAACAACTTATGTAAATGGTGTTCTAGTGTTCTATATTTGCAGAGGTCATCTGAAGAGGGCCCCCTGGATGTTGTCCTGTGACAAGTTCATGTTTTTATGTTGCTAATAGTTGTGAATTCATCTTTGTATTGTTGGCCATTAATTGTGACACTTTAATAATATTAGGTTATTAAAGTTTGCGATTTGAAAACTACAATATTGTGAAAGATGAATGTCTAAAAATAAAAGCAATATCAATCCAAATATGGTTCAATATTGCTCAGTATTTACAAAGATGAATAACAAATTTTGAAACATTTAATAGCCAGGAACACATACAATTTAGCTTTTAATCAGCTTGAAAATTTAGTTATTGTTCGAAAAATGCAAATGACAATCAGCAGCTTAAATGTATAAAAGCAATAGGAATATAGGAGATTTCAAATGTCAAAGGATTAATAAATAAGTCAGATGACTACATACCATAACTTTTATTATATGTTTCAAATTATCTAGTGGGAAATCAGGTAAACCCATAGATGTTGATTCTGTTGTTAACATGGTAGAAGCAAAGGACAGAATCTGTGATACTCTAAAATTACATACAATAGTCATTAGTATTGAAAAATAGGTGTTTAGTTGGGAAATAAAGATTATGACAGTCCAACAGTTTCTCCCACAAATAATCTTAGTGAACGCTAATTATATATACCAGAAAATGTCTTTAAAATTAAACCATTATATGCTTGATCACTGAAAATACATTTGGGAGATTTAGGTGTGCACAGTGATTTTCAAAATAAATCTTTTAACACTTTAATTACATTCTTGACATGTTTAAAGAATAATATAGTTATGGGATTTAGCGTCCTTTCATTAGACTATCTTTGATATAGTTCATTTTTATTATTAATGAACAGGCAGTTCCACTAATTTATACAATATTAAACACATGTATTTGAGGCTTGTATTTATAGGGAATTCATTAAGGCTGGCTTTGACATAAGTTTCGGTAACGGTGTTTGAGCTCTTATATAGAATAAACCAGGTTCAAATCCTAAAATGGGTCAAATAGAACCTTAGGATTTTTTAAGCCTGTCAGTGGTAGAGCCTTATGAGACAAACAAGAGCATCGGTACCGTTGCAATATAAGTCCACATTCATGGGGGTCGGGACATGCACCAAAATAAATAATTGCGGTCTTTATATGGTATAAGGAATAAATATCCAAAGTTCCAAGATGATCGATTCAGAATTGCAGTCTGTAGACGATAAACACAAACCAGCGGTTGCCAGGCAGAATACACCCACATTTTGAAAGAAATGGATCGAGAACAAACTAAACAAAGATAGGTTGCCAGGCAACGAAACATACGCCCACAGCAGCTAAATCGTCCGGGCAGTCAACAAGTGTTGTCGCATATTTTTACATCTTTCGGTAATGACACATTTATAATACACTAAAATCTGATTAAGAGTAACAACTCATGAAGTAATTATCAGAAAACCATTAGAATTTGTTTGGTTTTTATAAAGTTCTGCCCCATGCTAACGTGTATCAATCTGATGTCAACTCTGGCAGTAATTATCGAAAATCGCTGAAAATGAATAGACTTCTTTGTCTCATGACCTTAAATACTGTGTATAAATCTAAAGTCAATCGGATATTAACTTTAGCCTCTAGAGCGTCCACAAGATTTTTCAAAGTGATCAAGGGATATAACTCTGGCAGTAATTATCTGAAATCACTGAAAATCAATAGACTTCATCGTCTCATGACCTTAAAAACTGTGTATAAATTTAAAGTCAATCGGATATTAACTTTGACCTGTAGAGTGTCCACAAGTGATCAAGGGCCATAACTCTGGCAGTAATTATCGGAAATCGCTGAAAATCAATAGGCTTTTTCGTCTCATGACCTTAAACACTGTGTATAAATTTAAAGTCAATCGGATATTAACTTTGGCCTTTAGAGTGTCCACAAGATTTTTTGAAGTGATCAAGGGCCATAACTCTGGCAGTAATTATCGAAAATCGCTGAAAATGAATAGACTTCTTTGTCTCATGACCTTAAACACTGTGTATAAATTTAAAGTCAATCGGATATTAACTTTGGCCTTTAGAGCGTCCACAAGATTTTTTGAAGTGATCAAGGGCCATAACTCTGGCAGTAATTATCGGAAATCGCTGAAAATCAATAGGCTTCTTCGCTTCATGACCTTAAACACTGTGTAGAAATTTAAAGTCAATCAGATATTAACTTTAGCCTCTAGAGCGTCCACAAGATTTTTTGAATTGATCAAGGACCATAATTCTGGCAGTAATTATTGGAAATCGCTGAAAATTAATAAGCTTCTTCGTTTCATGGCCTTAAACACTGTATATAAATCTAAAGTGAATTGGATATTAACTTTAGCCTCTAGAGCATCCACAAGCAATTGTGGACGCCGGACCGACGGACGGACGGGGCCGACAACAATATACGACCATATTTCAATGTGGGCGTATAAAAAGCGATTTTTTGTACAATCAAGGGCCATAATTCTGGAAGTTAGGATCCAATATGTGCGAATATCTACAGGAACCAAGATCTTTGGGTTTTAAAGACATTTTTCCAGTTTCATCAAAATCGGATCAAAATTGTGACTTCTAGAGGGTCCACAACCTTGATATATCATATATTTGCACTATTTGCTTATGAGTACGAAGGGCGGCTATTTTGTTGGGCAATCTTGGTCCGATTTTCACAAAATTCGAACTCAGCCATCATTAGGGTGTAACGGTGATATATTCAAACGTTTTTTTTAATCGGATAAAAATTGTTACCTCTAGAGTGACCACAAGCTAAAAACGTAAGAATTTTCGTAAAATCAAGGGCCATAAATACGATCCGACATGCGCAAATTTAGAATGGAACCAAGATCTTTGGATTATAAACATGTATTTCAAGTTTCATCAAAATCGGATCAAAATTATGAACTCTAGAGGGTCCACAACCTTGATGTTCCAAATTTTTACATTACTTGCGTACGAGGGGCGGCCATTTTGTCCGGCTGTTTTGGTCCGATTGTGACTTCTAGTGGGTCCACAACCTTGATATACCATATATTTACACTATTTGCGTATGAGTACGAGGGGTGGCCATTTTGTTGTACAATTTTGGTCTGATTTTCTCGAAATTCGAACTCTAGCTTCATCACAGTGTAACATTTATATTTTCAAACGGTAAAGGGAGCAAGAGCTAAAAACGCAATTTTTCGTACAATCAAGGGTCCTTATTCAGCAATTTACCATCCGATATGCACAAACATCGAAAGGAACCAAGATCTATGGGTTATAAACATGCATTTCAAGTTTCATGAAAAGTAGATGAAAATTGTGACCTCTAGAGTGTCCAAAAGCTAAAAACGTGATTTTTCGTACAATCAGGGGCCATAATTCATGAAGATATCGTCCGATATATGCCAATATCAAAAGAAACTGAGATCTTTGGGAGATAGACCTTTACTTTAAGTTTCGTCAAAATTGAATAAAAATTGTGACCTGTAGAGTGTCCACAAACAAATTGTGGAAGGACGGACAGGGGCGATGACAATAAATGTCCACATGAAAATGTGGGCGAATAAACATCGGCATAGCTCGGCCCCTGTGTGTTGGATATGGAACAATATAAATAGGTACAACCGTGTGATGGGTCATGCTGAATTGGATCCATATGTTAATGATTGCAACCTGTAGATTATTTACAGACAAAATATTTTTTAAAAGTGGGTGTGGCACTGCCCACACAGGGCGGATCATGCACCAAAATCAATAGTTGCCGTCCTTAGGGTGTAAAGACCAGGTAAGTTCCAAGATAATCTATTTAGGATACAAAAAATGCCAAATTCTGAATTGCGGCCTGTATACGATAAACACAAAAATTGGGTATGGCTCTGCCCCTAAGGGTCGGGACATGCACCAAAATAATAGTTGTCATCCTTAGGCTATAACACTGGAGATATTGTATCGTTTAGAACGGGTTTTTGTTGCTGGAAAGTATGCATACAGTTTACTTTCAAAACATCGTTCAATAATTGATAAAAATCGTTTAAGAATTACAAAAATGGTTTAGTTAGTACTATGGCTTAGTTTAATGGTAAGGGTTTAGTTTCTCCGAGAGGCGTTGATAAATGGACGACCCGTTCACTTATCTACAGCGTTTACTTATTAGCCGAGCCATTTACTTTCCCGAGATACGTTGAAAAATCAACACACGGTTTACTTATCTACGGCGTTCGCTTATTAGACGAGCTGTTTACTTTCCTGCGAACCGTTTATCCGATTGGTTCATTTTGATTACGATCATTTACATAAGACAAAGAGAGAAAGAGAAATGGGGTTTAACGTCCACTTGACACAGACTAGGTCATTCCGGGACTAACATGTGGTTAATTTTATTTCAATAATTCGCTTGCGCGGAGGGGTCTTTAGCAGTGGGAAGAAACCGGAGGACCCGGAGAAAACTCACGAGGTTGGACGGGCAACCCTACTCCTTGTCACGTACAACCGGGGATTCAAAACAACGCCAGTTGACTCAATGACAGGCCTCGTGATACAGCATGCGTGTGCTAACCATTCGGCCATCCAACCCCCCTATTTACATATGAAGTATGAATAAAAAAGGTGAATATAAAAAAATGTACACCCATAGATGATCACCTTACCGTGGTCGTAGTATTATTATCCATTACCCTATAAAATTAGTATTCCACCATAGAGAAATACATCAAAAATCGGTAAATCACGTCCCAGGTAATTATACAATTGGAAATAGGTAAATCACATCCCAGGTAATGTATTTTTTTAAAATCACAAATGAATTAAACATGCATTATGCAAGAGCTAAATCTGATTATTGCAAGTCTTAATTTAGGCTTCAGATGTTATAGAAATTATAAATTAGATCTTTATTTAAACAAGACCAAAATCAACTCTGTAGACCCACGGATGGCTCGGCTACAGCTCGGATTTAAATTGGATTTCACTAATTGATTAACCCTTTCAATGCTAGACGTAAATCCACTGCCTGTGCTAGACCCTTTTTTGAGGAAAAAAGGGAGGTTGGAACTGAATGCCAAGCAGTACTTATGGAAGCTTTTATGAAAAATCTTTTTGTCTGTTGGGATGGGCATGAGGTTGGGCTAAGAGGAAAAAATAGAATTTTGGAAATTTGCATAATAATGTAGTCACGTGACGTCATGGCGGCCATTTTGGATTTCTCATTTCACACTAAAGCTAACACGAAAACGAATTTTTCTCCATGAAATACTTAAAAGATATTGTTTTTTTTACTGGATTTTGATAAAGATATATAAAATGAACAAAAATATCAATAGCAGCCATGAGCAATGCCGCCGCGAACACGCGCATCACGTCTCCCGCTGCCATGACCACGTGCGGATTGCAATACCTTGTTTTTACTTTCACTTTCACTTTCATCCCCAAGTCCCATATCATTATCAATATAGTTAGTCAATAGATCTACACGTTCGGGAATCAGGAATTACCTACGTATTTTACGATCCAGCAGGCCAGCATTATTATCAACAT